GAATAGAAGTACCTGAGAAATTATTTAATTCGCACTTATTTGATCCAATATTTAAAATGTAATATTACAATGTATTTAGTTTTATTTTACTAAAGAATTGATGATAATTTTGTTTTAATGATTTTGTTAATTCTGTTAATTACTAACTTGAATTTGCTTCTTTACCTATATATATATTTATATATATAAAAAAAAAAAATTCTAATCTCTTTTTAATTTAATTTTCTAAAATTTTTTTTTTTATCTTTTTTTTTTTTTTCGGGTAATTTCAAGCAATTATTATAATGTTATTAAATTCTTCCAACATTTACAAAATTGTAATCTTAATATGTTGTTTGGTTTATAATGTAAAGTCAAAATTGCTACATTTCAAGCAGATCTACCAACTTCTCCCGCTTCTTCCATACATCTAGTACATGTACATTTAAATCGCCATTTTGTTTCCAATTCACCTCTTCTATTACTATAATTTCTATCTCCAACTCGGATATAGCTGATTTTCAATTCGTCTCCAGCCTTGATAGGTTTAGTAGCAACAATAGATAAGACGTTATTCTTATCAGGGAATCTTGCTTCCGTATTTGGGCTGCAACTATGAGCAAGGTATGAAGCAACACGGTAGAAACCGGCACCAATAACGGTTGGTTGATTGCTACGCATAGTTTCTTCCAAATTCTTAAATTAAGGTCAGGCAAAGGTATGAATATGTAATCAAACTTGATGAAATTTTTACGTTTACTAATAATCATAAGTACCTCTTTTAAGGTTTCCATATTACGTTCAGTATGTATCCCATAAGCATTATACATGAGTTTACCCTTAAGCATTAAATACCTTTCCTCAGTAATGAATTCTTCCATGCCAGGTACCTTCGTTTTAAATAGTTCTTTCAACAATGTAATCTCCTTGGACTCTTTATCGTAAGGTTGAACTGCCAAGTATCTTAGTCGTTCAATATGATCCCAAGTGCTATATTCTTCTTCAATGCCAGTAGCAACTTTCTGTGTCTCTTCGTGTACCATTTTCGCCAAGAATCTAGCAATCATTAAAGGATATTTAACTCTTCCTGATTTAACCAATTCCTTTAATTTAGCTTCATTACTAGAAGAAACATCATCTCTAGTTGTGAAAAGGAGAGTTTCATATTCTGCCATTGCCTTTTCTTGGCATGATTTGGAGCAATAAACAGCACCAAATAGATCACTTTCATCGCTGAAATCTGCTCCATTCAATTCCGTGAGACAATGACTGCAAAATTCACCGTTCTATAATTTCGAAACAATAAATTTTAATAATAATAATAATAATAATAATAAATAAAAAAATAAAAAAAAAAAAAGATTAAAACAATATCATTCAATGTCGCAAATATTGAAACAATTGTAGCCAACACTCGTATGATGGTTGCCAGGTTTCTTAATTGAACGAACGAATTCACATTAAGATTATAAATACATACTTCAAGACTTGGATCTAAAGCGGAAGCAATAGCTTGTTCAATAAAGATGACATCCCCCGGTGCAAAATCTTTTGTAGAAATCAGAGCGCGACGTATTTGTTCATCCGAACTTTGACCGAATTCTTCAATCCTGACATTCATTTCTTTTGGTGGAAAATTCCCGAAATATTCCGCTTGCTTTTTCTTTACCTATAATAAATTATATTATTCATTATTAACAAATGAAATATATATATATATTTGAATTGACTAAATCATGAAAATTGATTTTCTACCTCAATGCTCATCATATCATAAACTAAATTGAAAACGGGTTCAGGAATGGTTTTTTGATATATCATAATCAATTCTACTGGATTTGGATAAACTTTCAAAGCTTTATAGAAGCAGAGAGCAGCATCGAGATAGCCGGACTCGCCTAAGATTTTAAAAGAAAATTAGCTATTCCAATGAGTTTAAAGGAAATCAATAATATTAAGCTAGCATATAAATTCACCTCCTGCGAAAAAAGTTTCACCCTTGGCCACTTGTTCCATAAAGAATTGTTCTTTAACACCGACATCAGTCGGAAAATTTTCTTTGGCAACTTCTTCAACAGCTCCTCGAATAAAATTAGCGGTTTTTGATTTAGATTCTTCTACAGCTGCCTTTTTTTGCTTTAATGCTTTTTTCCTGTTCTTTTCTAAAAAGGTTCAAAAGCAAGAGTCAATTACCTTATCAAACATTTTTTTTTATATATATATATATTACAATTGACTTTGATTTAAAGTTTTCAGATCGAAAACTGTTATAAATAATGCGATTAAATTATTCATTAATGAATGATTTTTCTTTACAATATTAAATTAAGCTTTTTAAGATCGAACTGCTATAGAAAAACGATGAAGTTTCATTACTTGTATTTTGTTTAGCATGAGAATTTTAGGATATTATACTCACTCAATTTCCTTCGGAAATCTGGGTCAGTTTGTCGCAGATAGTCCCAATATACAGCATAACCAATACCAAATACCGCAACGGCACATAAACCAAACACAACCGATTTCCTTAATTCCATGATCAACTATAAAGGAATTTACAACACTATTTGAAGAAAATTATTGTTACAGTAAATCGAAAGGCCAAAAGGCAAGAAAAAAAATGAAGATCGGGCATCATCTGATTGATTAAAAAAAAAAATAAAAAATATTTAAAATTCAGTTACTGATCAACCGTCACGTGAAATTTGATCGTAAAATTTTTTGGTCGACTTTTTTCAGCCTTCATGCCGTTATATCATACTGCTTGAATCAATTCACATGCTATACGTTTCATTGTTACTTTTTTTTTTTTTATATGAACAACTTTTTCGCGTAATTAAGATGAGTCATCCGGACCTTCCCGAGCAAATACCAATAATATCTAATTTGTCTAATAAGAATTTTCGTTATTATTATTCTCTACTTCTATTTTCTTTTGACATAAAAATTTAAAAACTGATTTAAAATTTTTTTTTGTTTTTTGAGGATGAACATGCACATTTAATTATTTTAATTATTATTAATAATTAATATAAATTTCATTCTATTTACTAATATCTTAGGATAAAATATTTCATTAATCACTGGTAACAATTGGTTTTGATGTTGATGATAATGTAAATCAAATCTATCATCTGTATTTTATAAAAATTGAATTTATTCAATTGAAGCAAATAGCAAAATAAACAAGAATAATTTTTATTTGGATGTCCAATAGGGTTTGTGTATTTGATTTATTTTGTAATGATATGCAGGTACAAAATCATTCATCTACTTTTAAATCTTCAACCGAGATCATTTGTTTCCCGTTTTAATTATTAAAATTCATATTAAGACTATCTGATGATGATAGATTCTTTTAATCTCTCAATCTGTTGAATGTTTGTAGGTAATTCAAATTTTCTACCTGGGAATATAATGTAAGTTTTTCAACAAAAATTGACCATTTGTACCAGCAATTTGAATAAATGGCACATAAATTTTATCAACTTGCTTTTTGTAAAGTTAAGAGACAGAAATTTGTTGAAGATTGATTGGTTAACGGCATCGATCACGAATTATTTTGTCAGCAGATGCATTTGCAGCAAATTCCCATTCACCTAAATCAACTTCCTGAGGTTGTTAAGAATCTAACATCACAATGCCGGCCATTTTTAGTCATTGTTTAACTTGCTGGGCCCCTTAAACATGTGCATATTTAGTAAGTATGGTACGAAACAATAAAGTATAACCTCTCATATATGATAACTACAATTTTAATTTATTTCCAAAATTTTCCATAAGCACTTCAATGATATACCAACTTTACCTTGTTATTTCAGTGTGCCCAGTCTTTCCACAGTCTAACAAATTTGAATTGTTACATTTGACTAATAGTCAAAATAATTGTTAGATAGCAGAACGTGAAAAGCTAAATCAACAAAATGTTTATAATACTTGCAAATCAGCATATATTTTTTTGAAATTTTAAATAAACAACTTTTTGGATCAGATTTTCATGATGATCCAAACAACTAATGTATGATTCGCTAATGTTTCCATTTTGTACCATCTGTATAAATGAATCTGTAAGCATGAAATAAAGAAAAAGTAAATCAATGAAAAGAAATTCTCAATGTTTGAAATAAATGTATTAACATCATCTGGAAATGCTGGAATCAACAATGTTGCTTCATGTGAGTTCATTATATATCGCCCTATCCTTTAATTTGAACCAAAGTTTTTCATGTTAGCAGATAAATCAATTATATTTGACAGTCCATATCTTAAATTTGCTTTTTGAATAATGGTTTCTTTTTTCCCTTAATATCTTCGACATTTAAATTTATATTTTTATAAAAAATATCACCAATTTCAGCACCAGAAGGAAGAATACAATTTTTTCTTGCTGCTAACACAAAATACATTATCTGTTTCCAAATTAAGAATCCCTTCATCATCATTTTCTTCAATGTCTTCGGATCGGTCCAGTCCGTCGATCCAACTCTAATTTTGTAATATTTTATAAATAAACAATTTATTTAGTATTATATAAAATTAACCATAATTTACAATAATATGCTATAAATAAAGGACCAGTCCGGTCCGGTCCTCGGAATATGGACTGAGGACCGCAAAGACCGGTCCCATTAACCGGTCTAAGACCGGTCTTACCAGGATCGATCAATCCCTAGTCTTCTTCAGAACCTGATGGTATTGGGTTAAACAAACGTGGAGGAGAAACTAAACCGAACTTCAAAAAAGATGCATAATATAGAAGAGAAAAAATGAAACGAAGATTACAATATCATTTCAATGTTTTTTTTAAAAAGTAAAAATAAAATAAAAAGCATAAAAAACAAAGACGAATTAGGTAAAAAAAAAAAAAAGGCAAACAACACAATTTAAATGTTAACCAAAGTTAGTTTCAATTCGTATATTTACCTCATTACCATTATCCTCGAGTTTTTTCTGTGATTGATGGTCATAAACCCACAAAATTTATCAGTGAGTTATTCAAATAGTGGACTCATCTTTTTCATCTAAGCAAGGGTTGCATCTTTTTCATCTGTTTCCTCTTCGAAATCTTGATGATGTTTTTCATTTATACGACGATTATCGATAGCCGCCATTTCTCCATTCATAAACACCTGCTGTTCTACTCAATCAAACAAATAAATGTATTTGAAATTTTCAGACTAAAGCTCAGCTGCTGAAGTTCGATCTTGAAGTTTTTACAACCCTCCTTAAGAACGGACCGTGATGGTCGAAAATAATCATCAATGGCTGAATTATAATAGCCCTTTTCGTAATTTTGTTTTATTTCAGTAAATTTAGGTTCATCTTTATGAATAATTAAGAGCTTGCTAAGAGCAGAGCCCCATTTTGAGAAGCCTGTCGACTTCGAAGTACAGTCAAACATTTTAAAATTTGCCATTGGTGTGAGTCTTTCCTCCTTAGTAAAAAAATCCATTTCTTGTTGTGAAACCATTGTCGTTAGATAAGACATTGTACGCAAAAAATTTCACACTGTGTATTTTGTTTTATCGACTCTATGAGTCTATTCAAACTGTTAAACTTTGATTTTTTTTTTTATTGTTACAAACAATAAGAGAAAAAGTCTAAAAAAGTTCAATTTGAAATGGTCCAATTATTGAACAGCGAAAATAAGTTAACGCGTAATACGCGTAATAACATGTTCTCGTGACTAGTTCACGTGATATATTTATAAACAGTTTCTATCTTTCATTACTTCATTAATAACCATTTTCTCTTCCTTAAACAGATCGTGTCCTGCAAGATGTGGTCTGGCACTGCGGTTATTCTTCATTAGATTCTCACACAGAAGATAGTATAATAACCGAGTGATCTGAAGAACTGCGGTTATCTCATAAGCTCTTTTGAGAGTTGTGGTTATTCCATAAGCTCTTTCAAGGGTTGTGGTTCTGATCAGTTGCCAAGAGCGTGCATTGTGCGCACGATTACTCTTCCGAATTCCAAATCTATAGCAAGGATCTATTTCTCAGAGCAAATTAGTTTGTAACCAGATTAACTTCATACAGATATTTGGAATTAAAGATCTATCAATATAAAACATAAGTGAGTCTACATATACATAATTTCAAGCGTAATAATTTTTATTTTTCGAAGTATTAGAATTGCGCAAGATATAAATGCTGATTAAAGAGAGGGATGACTGTATATTAATAAATCCACAAATCAAATAAATAAAAAATCACGAGATTTTAATAGGAGTCTCCGGCTGAAATTTGATGAGAAAAATAAGTTAGTCATAAATCGTCAATTACATTCTCATTTATAAGTGATGTTTATTTTTCCTAATGCATTTTCTGATGCATAACGTATAAAAACATGTTTATTATGATATGTTAGGGAGCTTTACGGCGCAGTAACCAAGTTCAGATCTCCCTCAAAAATGTCACGAAATTTCACGTGATATATTTTTGTCACCGGTGTCACATCCCTCCGCGTTTCATTTTTACTAAGTATTATGGGACAGAATTTTTCGGTAGGTGAAATTCTATTTGTTACGCCTTTATCACGCAGTTAATTTCTTAATGCCGTAATGCCGGCCATTTCGTGACATTTTTGAAGTTTCATCAAAAAATATGCGTCATTTTATTATTGTGGATAAAGTATGCTAAAAAAAATAATCCATGTATTTAGATATTGATATTATTATATATTATTAAAAAATACATAATTGATAATAAAATGAAATAGATGGACCGACCCTAATGAATCAATTTCTTCACTTGGAAGCTTACGCATAAAAGGTACTTGTAGATTTGCCGTTTGGATGTTTTCGATATTTGTAATCCTCCGAAATTTTCCCAACCCGTTCCTGTTATTGTAAGGACAATAAGCAAAATATCTTATTGTAATCTCAAAGAAAAATGTGCCTACCTCCAAAGCAACTAAATGACCTATTGCAGATTCAGCTAATGGGATTGTGATCTTGTCTGTCACAAGTCTTGTCGTAAAAAAAGGCCATGATCGATATAATCTATCGTATTGCAAATCCATGAAGTACGATTCCATTATCTCGCCTGAATTATTACAGAAATTAATATATTACAAAAAGTAACAGAGTTTATATATTACAATCGTTCATACCCATATTTAGAAATATCCCAGTTTCCCCTGGTCCTCTCTTAGTATGAAGTTGTAAATTAATAGCTTTTCTGGCTTTTAATTGTGCTTTTAATCTATCCGTTGGAACTGGTTAATTAACCGGTTAGAACGGTTAACATGTTAACCGGTTATAACCGGTTAAAATAGATGAAGTTAACTCCGGCCGAAGTCAATTTCCGGCCAGAATTAAGAATTTTATGATTGCAAAAATGTTGTCTAATTCCGGCCAAATTTATAGTACTGGTCTAAAGTTAATTTTAACCGGTTAATTAACCGGTTAACGAATATTTTAACCGTTTATTAACCCAATAAAGAATTTTTGGCCGGTTACAACCTCTAGTTTAAATCCTTTTCAAGTTCAGATACGAAAAACAGATTATTAACTTCACAATTGTTTTTTGATTCAAATAAAGTGATGATGATTTAGAAAGCTCAGATGGTCATTTGATTTCATAAGCTTCAAAGAGTCACTCAATCTCAGCCATTTTGATGCTTCATGAACCTACAACACTTTTGGTTCTTGTTGATGAATTAAGTTTATCTGAAGTGAAGCATTTTCAGTTACCTGAACTTGTTGTTTTGCCTAATTGAAAGGAAATATCAATAAGCATCTTCCAAATGAAATACCAATTTTTATACTAAAAATTCTAACATAAGCGATATCAATAAATATCTCAGCTTTCTTCTCAAGCAGAAGTATTCTAGTTTCAAATTTTTCAAGATCAATCATGTTCTAGAATGATCTGAATTGCTGCATCACTAGTTATCGCAATAAGCTACACAAAGTGAGCGCTGCATAGCTAACCCTAATGCTATCATAGTATGATAGATTCTGGCCAATTACTGAAAAGAGGAGTCTTTAACTTCACATTCTCCCATTAAGATTACTATCATAAATAGGAGAAAATATCAAATGACAAAAAACATGAAGAAAATATATTTTAAGAAAAAAAAGAAAAGCAGGTTATCAGAGATTGTGAATGAATGAGTTGCCTTTTGCCTTCATACAAACTTAAGATAGAATCCACCAGAGATAGTCATCATAACTAACCTGACGAATTGCCAAGTTACTTAGGTAGTTATTTTGACAGTGCTCAACTCCTTATCTATCTTCTTGCTATTTTTACTTTCTTTTCAATTTAAAATATATTACCTTAGACATATTAAAATTAGAAGTGATTTTTCTCTACTTCTCTTCACCCATAATTGCAACATTTGAAACAAATTTTATATATTAGTATATTCAACTGGTTTATCGAACGAGAAGTCTTCTTTTATACAATAAAAATTCAGAATAGAGATAAGGTTGAAGTTATCAGGTTCAAGGCAGTTTCTCATCCTTTGAAACTTACATTAATTTTAAGATCAGATATGGTGTCTTTGAGAAAAAAATTTATTTATTTAGATATATTAGTCTTTTTTTTCATCCAAGTTTTTATTAAAATTATTTATAATCACATAATAATAATCACACAGAACATAATTATATTCCATTAAAGCATCAAAAATATAGATCAGTCTGAAATTTCATAAATGAATATTTCACGTGACATGTTACATGTAATTAATTTGATTAGATAAAGTTACGTTTAGTATTTATGAAAAAATTACATATTCTTCTAATTGATTTAACTTCTTTAAGATACTTTCTGAGATCTTCTATAAGATTTGTAACTTTTTACTACATATTTTATTTATCATCAATACTTTTTCTATAAAGATTTATATAATACTAACATTTTTTTAAATATTTAATAGTTATTAATCTTACAGAAACAAGACTTTTAGAAACTATTTTTTTGTAATTTTTCTCACGAATAATCATAATTTTCATATAAATACCTTTTGAAAACATCTAATATCTCTCAATAAAATTTAATTTATAGTAAAATATGAAAAAAAATACTTATGTTTTGCATTTTCAATTAATTCCTTAATAGTATCTTTTTAAACAAAAAAATTGGATTCTAAGAAGATTACTTAATATATATAACAGAAAGTTCTTAAAATATCTTAAATCTTTTTTTTACATTTATTACATTCTAATATCAATCCTTTAAGTAACTATTTTTACATTCTATTAATACTTGTTTAATTCTTTTAGACTTATCTTAGAGTTTCTCATCATAATATATTATGGAAATATTTGGTTTAAAGTAAGCATCCTACATAATTGGTTATTTATTACCTGAGTTTAAATTCATTTGACTTATAAATAAGGCATTTTTACTAAATACAACATGATTAAAACTATTATTAAAAGCAAATACAACCATATAATCTAGATATAAAATACTAAAAAATAGAAATTGCTTTATATTCAATTTATTCAAAAAAGTGCTTTACTATCTAATAACCCTTTTAATTTATATCAGGTTTAGATAATATTGTGTTTTTTCAAATATATAAATATGATTTTTTATATTATCTTATTATAAGCATAAATATCTATCAATTTCAGTTAGAAATTTACTAATCATAATTGATTTTCTATTTCTTTTTTATAGTGACATTTTCCTATTTTTTGTCTATAATTCACATTTTTTATTATTTGAATAGAAAATACATTCATTATGAATCACAAAACTCACTTTTTTTCTCTTTCAAATAAATTAGGATGTATTTAATTTATTGATTAACCTTCATATTTGAATATATATTTATTATATTCAAATATTTTTCTAAAAATTCTTTTTGATATTATAAAATATCTTTTTGTTCATGCTTATTCTCAGTGTTATTATAAGACATTAGTGGGATACTGATAGGATGCTGATAGGACATAGATAGGATAGATAAGACATTTAGGACATAGTGTGAGATAGGTTGAAATATATAACTGAGATATATAGCTGGAATAACAAATCTCTAGAACATCAAAAATATACATCACTGCTTATTATAATACATTTCATGACTATATTATTGAAATAAATAGTTAAGAACTTTAAAGTCTTATTAAAATTATATATAATAAAGTTATTTAAAATTAATTTAAAATTAAAATAATTAAAATATGATTACTTATATCTTATTGTAATCATTAAAATAATAATTTTTTTCAGAAATTCTAATGTTAGAAATTTATTTATCTTTAATAAACTTTTTAAATAGAGCTGATATAGTATTAAAATATTATTTTTAAATTCAAATATGATATTTTTCTACTATATCTTTATCATTAATCACTCTAATTATTTTTTGATATTTTTTATGTATAGATACCAGAAGTTTATTATTAAGTAATCAATATTTATAATATTTTAAATTTTTTATACCTTTTATACATCACTATCAATATAAATTTTCTAAGCAACTTTTAAACTAATATTTAATTCTTTCATATTTATTAATAAGGTAATATATTCAAATATTCTTTATAATTATACTTAATAATCGTTAATTGATTATATTATATCTCTAATTATTCTTTTAAATCTTTTATTTTTTTAGTTATTTGATAAGTACATAGATTCATAATCTCACTTTCTGAATTAATTCTAAATTTTCTAATATATTAGACTTAAATAATTGTAAATTAATATTTAGTGATCATTGATTTTAAAAAAATTTGTAATTTTTTTTAGTATTAACTGCTGCTTTAGTTAATAAAACATTTAGATCATATTTATTATAATAGGTTAATTTTGGTGTTTTGCTTAACTTGTATAGTTCTTATATATTTTTCTAATTGATTATTATCTTTATATACTAAATCAAGTTTTTAATCTTTAATAGAATTTAATTTTAGCTTTTATATCCTTCAGTTTATCCTATTTATTATTATTATTATTATCTTATTTCTTATTAATACTATTCTCACTATTATTATTCTTACTATTATCAGCTAATATATTATTAAAACTTGAAGAATCATTCTCATCATCATTAAAAAAATACTCTCATTACTAAAAGAACCAAAATTATTATTAAAAAACTGAGACTTTTACCAAATAAATC